CGGTTGGAGGGCGGCCCGTTTTCAAAGTGTGGCTCTCGCTTGGGCGTCGCGCGCGTTCGTATTTAATGTGTGCAAAAGTTTCGCGGATGGGCTCCTTTTTCAAGATGTGGCTGTCGCCCCAGTTTCGCGCGCATTCGTCTAGCGAGCTTGCAGCAGTTGCAACAGCTTTCGCTGTTGACGTGCGAGATTTTCGTTGTTGTTTGTTCTACACGATTTCGGAATACCTGGGCGCAGCCGTCACGTTGGTTTGGGGTGTTGGCGCCCCAGGAATGGTGTTCGGGCACGGTTCAGGATCGTCAAGACGCAACAGTGACATTGATTCGCGGCGGTGAAGTCCCAGGAATGGTGTTTTTGGCACAGATCCCGATTTTCAAACGATTTTTCTCCAACGGGGCATTTCCTTCATTGAAAATGAATATGAGTAGGAGCCTGTGAAGTGGGAGTTTGGAAGGAGGGTTTATTGCAATATCGCTCGCGCGTCTTGGTTTTACACTGGTCCTCCTCCTCCTCCTCTTTCCCTTTTTCCTTCCTCCACCTTCGCCTTTTCCTCATCATCCCTTCCTTCCTCCCCCATTCGCCTCCTAATCTTCCTCCTCTTTCCTCCTCTCAAGTCCCATCCCGGCTCAGGCCAGCTTTGGTTCAGATGTGCAAATTGCCTGCGTTGGGATTCCCCGAGATTGTACCACACGCGTGCTGGCTTGAGCGCTGGTGGCGGGTTTCTTCTTCAATTTGTTTTCCTTCGGTGAACGTCGGGGTATGTTGCGGTATCAGCAGCGTTCCTTTGTCTGGCTGTTGGTGACGTCTTCGTTTGGGTGAGCCTGGCCCGGGCCCGTTTGGGCAAGTACGTCATAGTTTTTTTGTTGTTTTCATGTTCTTCTCCTTCTTTCCAGATTGGTTGCTCTTTTCTGGCCTCGTTCGTTGTTGCAGTTCTCGAAGTACAGTTTTCAGTTTTTTTCGTGTCTGGTTATTGTAAGGCGTTGCGTATGATTCACCGTCCTCACAGCCGATGGGTGCTTACAATGTGCTAGCGTGTGGCGTGTTGGTTGAGGGACGATTTTATCCACGGATGCTTATCGGCACTGTCGCTGGTCCGTATGCGCAGGGCGGGTCGTGGGGCTTCGGCGTCGTTGTTTGCTGTGGTCAGGCGGTTCGTCGTCCGTGTGCTGGTTTAGCGGTGGTGTGCGACGTTGTGCAGGCCGTGGGGTTTTCATCGCCACACGTTTGTCACGAGGTGGGCCTCGACATATTTTCACCCACACACGGTGTGGACGATGGCGTGGTGAAGTGTGTGAACCTCAAGGTGCTCTGGGTCTTCTTCGAGGCGCGCGTGGTGCTTATGCTTGCCACGCCCGCCCAGAGTAGTTTCGCATCGTTGTTGGAAGAATCCTCCTCTTCCTCCCCGTCCTCCTCCTCCTGCCCCCCCTCCATTTCCTCCCTGCTCCTCCTCCGTCTTCCTCCTCCGTTCCCCCCTCCTCCTCCTCCTCCTCCTCCTCCTCCTCCTCCTCCTCCTCCTCCTCCTCCTCCTCCTCCCTTCCCCCCCTCTTCCTTTCAGCCTCCTCCTCCCTGTCCTTCTCGTTTTTCCCCTCGTGCGCGTTTCTCGTCCTCCTTCTCGGGGACCTGTGGTTGGCGGCGGGCTCCAGTGACCCCGCTGGGGGAGGGAGTCCCTCACATTTTCGCTCCGCGAAGCAATAGCGGCGGTTGGAAGTTCCCAGGCTCGAGCGCTGTTGGGCGTTTTCCCATGTGCTTGGCTTCTTCGGCTTCTCCCGCCGCGGCTGGATCCGCTTCGGGATGATGGTCAGGGCGGGGCCCAGCACAAGCCCAGGGGGTCATTTCTTGACGCCCGCGTCCACGCCCCTTCGCGTCGCGATCAACATCGCGACGGATGGTTCCGCTGCCGTCGTCCGTCATCCGTCGTCGTCGTCGTCGTCGTCGTCGTCGTCGTCGTCGTCGTCGTCCGTCGTTGTCGTCGTCGTTGTCGTCTTCGTCGTCGTCGTCGTCGGCGTCGTCGGAAGGACGACGACGACAACGACGACGACGACAACGACGGACGATGACGGATGACGCCCGTTCAGGATGGCGACGGCGACGACGACGACGGTGAGGGACGACGGGCTACGACGGACGACGACGACGACCGACGACGACGACGACGACGACGGCGGCTTCGGCGGCACGGCGGCGGGCAGCGAGGCGATGGCGGCGGCTTCGGAAGCACGACGACGACGACGGACGACGACGACGACGAAGGGGGCGACCACGTAGGCGGCGGCGACGCTGGACGACAACGACGACGACGAGGACGAGGACGCGGACGACGACGACGTCGACGACGACGACGACGACTGCGACTGTGACGACGACGGGCGACGACGACGACGTACGACGACGACGGCGAACAACGACGACATTGACGACGACGTCGGACGATCACGATGGACGACGACTGCAGACGACGAAGGACAGACGACGGGTTACGGACGGCATACGGGAAAAACGACGACGACGACAACAAAGGACATCGACGTCGACGACGACGGTCGGCGACGACGACGAAGGACGACACACGAAGATGACGACGTCGATGGCGACGACAAACAGCGACGACGGACGACGGACCACGACGACGCCGCGGTCGCCGTGGTCGCCAGACCCGTCGTCGTCGTCGACCGTCGTCGTCGTGCTTCCGAAGTCGCCGCCGTCGCCGCCGCCGCCGTGCCGCCGAAGCCGCCGCCGTCGGCGTCGTAGTCCGTCATAGTCGTTCGTCGTCGTAGTCCGTCGTCCTTCGTCGTCGTCGTCGCCGTCCTGCGTCGGCGTCGTCCGTTCTCGTCCGTCGTTGTCGTCGTCGTCGTCGTCGTCGTCGTCGTCCTTCGTCATCGTCGTCGTCGTCGTCGTCGTCGTGTGTCGTCGGCGACGGACGACGAGGACGACGACGACGGTGACTGACGATAGACGGCGGGCGACGACGACGACAACGACGGACGACGACGACGACGACGACGGACGACGACGACGGATGACGGACGACGGTGGCGACGACGACGACGGACGATTGACGACGAGGACGATGGCGACGACGACGACGACGACGACCGACGACAGAGGACGTATGACCGACGACGGGCGACGACTATCGTGGACGATGGACGATGAACGACGGACGGCTGACGACGCCGATTGGCTGCGATAGGCGACGGACGACGGGCTACGGACGACAGGCGACGACGATGGATGACGACGACGACGACGACGCACGACGCACGATGGATGACGACGGCGACGACGACGACGGACGACGAACGACGACGACGACTACGACGACGGACAGCTCACGACGGACGGCGACGACCTCGACGACAACGTCTGGCGACGACAACGGACGACGACGACACCGACGCACGATGACGACGGACGACTGCTGACTAACAACAAACGACAAACGACGACGGACGACGCACCACGGTTGACGGTGACGACGGCGACGGACGAGGAGGACGATGACGACGGAGTGCGGACCACGACGGACTACGACGACAATGACGACTTCGCACGACGGACGGCGACGACGAGCGATGACGACGACGACGGCGGCGGACGACGACGCAAGACGGCGATCACGATCACAACCACGACGACGACCGACGAAGTTGAGGGACGATGATCGCGACGGACGGCGGCGTTGACCACGGACGATTACGACGGACGTCGGGCGTCTGCAATGGTGATGGCAACGGCGGCGGCGGCGACGACGACGACGACGAACACGACGACTGACGACGACGGCGGCGACGATGACGACGGACGACGACAACGACGACAACAACGACCACGACGACGACCACGACGACGACGGACAACGATGACCGACGACGGTGACGGACGATGCTGACGACGGACGACGACGGCAACCACGGACGATTCACGACGGACGTCGGGCGTCTGCGATGGCCACGGCAGCGGGGGCGGCGACGACGACGGCGACGGCGACGGCGACGGCGACGGCGACGACGACGACGAAAACGACAACGGACGACGACGGACGACGACGACGACGAAGGACGACTACGACGACGGCGACGGACGACGACAACGACGACAGCGACTACCACGACGATGACCACGACGACGACGACGACGACGGACGACCACGACGACGACGGACGACGACAACGACAGCGACGACCACGACGACGATCACGATTTCAACGCTGGACGACGACGACGAACACGCCACCGACGACGACGAGGAGGACGAGTTCGACGACGACGGACTTGGGGGTCACGGCGACGATGACGAAGCCGACGACGACGGCGACGACGACGAAGACGACGGCGGCGACGACGACGACGACGACGAGGCGGCGCCTTCGGCGCCGCCCCTGGCGCGCTCCGCGCTCTAGGGAGGGGGTCCAGCGCCGATCCGAGAAATCCGCGCGGAACTCCGAGTTTTTATGTTCATGTCATTGCTCGTTCCCCTAAGGATTGGTGCTCGTCGGTTCAGATCGGCTACACGTAAGAGTGACCCTGCGCCGGAGTGACCTTTGCTGCGGGCCCAATGGGGTCCCCCGATCGCCGAGCGCGAAGCGGTAGCAGCGGCTTGCGCGCCCAGGTTTGGCCATCCGGCGTCTTCCGTTAAGCCGCGCACCAAAGGTCTCTCTTGCGTGTAGCCGATCAGAGATGGTGGCCTGAGGGATGGGGCTCTCGGGACGAGGGTCTTCAGGCAGTGGAAATTCAGCCTGAGATTCCCATCCCAAGATCTCCGACGCCGTGTATCTTGTTGTCGCAACGTGGACCCCCAGAGGTCGAGACCTCTTCCCCGGGACCGGTTTTTCACCCCGAGTTGTGTGCAGTCCGGGGAGTTTTGGTGGGAGGAGGAGGAGGAGGAGGAGGAGGAGGAGGAGGAGGAGGAGGGCCCCCGGGGACGGAGCACTGCAGAAGCCGTCCGTTGTGCCATTTTTGCGCAGCGAGAGAGGAGCCGGGCAGAAGTGCCGCCGAAGTGCCAGCGGGCAGCGGGCGCCCACCCAGGCCGCCAGGAGGGGAGTCGCCTCCGCCGTGGAGGCCACTGGCGACGCCGTCGGCTCCGCCGGCGAGTTCATCGGCAGGGCCGCGGAGGGCAGAGTGCAGGCGGGGCCGCACCCGCCTTCGGTCTGGGTGGCGGTGGTGGTGATGGTGATGGTGATGTGGATGCTGCTGCTGCTGATGCTGATGCCGCTGCCGATGATGGTGTTGATGCTGCTGATGATGATGATGGTGATGCTGCTGCTGATGATGCTGCTGATGATGATGCTGCTGCCCATGATGATGATGATGTTGATGATGATGGCGATGGTGGTTTCGGTGGTGGTGGTAATGATGGTGGTGGTGATGATTGTGGTGATTGTGATGCTGATCTCGATTATGACGATGATAATGATGACGTTGATGATGGTGGTGGTGGTGGTGATGGTGATGATGATGACGATAGTTATATTGGTACTAGTGATGATGCTGTTGTTGTTGATGATGATGATGTTGATGATGATGCTTACGATGATGCTGCTGCTGCTGATGATGATAACGTTTATGGTGGTGGTGGTGATGGTGATGCTGATTACGATGATGGTGCTGACACGTTTGATGATGCTGATGATGGTGATGATGACCATGATGGGGAAGGGGATGGTGATGGCGATGATGATGATGGGAATGATGATGATAATGCTGATGATGCTGATGATGATAGTGACGATGATGATGGTGATGATGTTGATGATGATGCTGATGATGCTGCTGATGGTGATGATGATGATGATGGTGATGGTGATGCTGTTGATGATGATGCTGCTGATGATGCTGCTGCTGCTGATGATGATGATGCTGATTGTGGTGATGGTGGTTTCGGTGGTGGTGATGATGATGCTCATGATGATGAGGAGGAGGAGGAGGCTGCTGATGCTACTGGTGGCGATGATGATGGTGGTTGGCGTCGGTGGTGTGGGGGATGGTGATGATCACGGGGATGATGTTGTCAGTTAGGGGGGCTGATTATGAGTGTGATGGTGATGGTGACGATGTTGATGGTGATGATGTTGATGCTGCTGCTGCTTAGACGAATAATCAGATTATGCTATTGATGTTGTTATGTTGATGATGGTGGTGGTGATGCAAGACGCTCTGATCACCCGATCATAGACCGTGCAATGTAAAAGGAGGACGATGAGACGGCCGACGCCCAGGCGACGCCTCTCGCGGTCGTCGTCGTCGTCGTCGTCGCCGTCGTCGTCGTCGTCGTCGCTGCCGTCGTCGTCGTCGTCGTCGTCGTCGTCGTCGTCGTCGTCGTCGTCGTCGTGGTGGTCGGCTGGTCGGTGGGTCGATGTCGACGAAGCAATGCTTACTGTCGGGCCGAGGTATCAGATCGAGGTCGCTTCGGGGAGGATGCCCTGCTGACCTTCGTGTCTGTTGGATCTTGTGCCTCCTGAGGGAGGGTGCCCTCGAATGCTCTTCAGTTTGGCCAGCGGAGGGTCTTATGTTCTTGGAGGATGTTCTTCTGTCCTAGGTTTAATTCGGGCATGTCCCTCTACAGGAGGACTATTCAAGAATTGTCCAACAATAGTCTGTTGACGATTTATCGTGCTCTTTTGATGATTTTTGGATTATTTCCCAACCCTCCCTTGGTTGGGTTCTCGTTTTGAGTAGAGCAAAGTGTGAAACTATCGCCAGTTTCGAGGGCTGCTGGGGCAGCCAGCAGAGTGGGGCCACACGCAGACCCAAACGGGACCGCGCCATCCCTGGGGGGCTGCGGAGTGTGAAGCTGTCGCCAGTTTCGAGGGCTGCTGGGGCAGCCAGCACTGTGGGGCCACACGCAGATCCAAACGGGACCTCGCCATCCCTGGGGGGCTGTGAAGTGTGACATTGTCGCCACTTTCGAGGGCTGCTGGGGTAGCCCGCACAGTGGGGCCACACGCAGATTAGAACGGGACCTCGCCATCCCTTAAGGGCTGAAATGTGAAGTTGTCCTCACTTTTGAGTCTCCAGAGGGGGGTAGCACAGTGGGGCCACACGCAGACCCAACCGGGATCCCGCCATGCCTGGTGGGGGGCTGCGAAGTGTGAAACTGTCGCCAGTTTCGAGGGCTGCTGGGGCAGCCAGCACAGTGGGGCCACACGCAGACCCAACCGGGATCCCGCCATGCCTGGTGGGGGGCTGCGAAGTGTGAAGCTGCCGCCAGTTTCGAGAGCTGCTGGGGGAGCCCGCACAGTGGGGCCACACGCAGGCCCAAACGGGTTCCCGCCACCCCTTGGGGGAGGGGGGCTGCGGAGCGTGAAGCTGTCGCCATTTTTCGAGGGCTGCTGGGGGAGCCCGCACAGTGGGGCGCCGCGCGGATCCAAACAGCACTGCAGGCACCGTGCGCTCTCCGCAGACGCGTCTCCGCCTATGCAGCCTTATCTTGCTCATGCTCCATCGTCTCGCTGCTTCTGCGAAGGTGATTGCTGCGCGCCCCGCGCCGGCGCGTGGAGCGCGGCAGGGGCGGCGGCGGAGGCGCCGTCAGGGGGGCCCAGCGCTGGGCCAAGGAATCCGCGCGGAGCGCCGAGAGGCTGTGCTCGTCGGGAGCCTTGAGGCGGGGGCGAGTGCAAACGGGCGCCAGCCAGGGCGCCCGATCTCGCAGGATCCTGCAGGGCCAGGGTCGCATTGACCCGGGTTTGGGTGCAGGATCCTGCAGTATCTTGCAGGGTCCTTCGCGTTGGCCCGGGTTTGGGTGCAGGATCTTGCAGGATCTTGCAGGATTCTGCAAGGCCTGAGTGTGACCTGGGCCTGGATTGACCCGGGTCAGAAGATCCCCGAGCTTGTTCGCCGATCGCTTTCCACTGCTCGCAAAGTGCCTTATCGCAGACGTCCGAACAAAACACGTGTATTCCCCGATGTAATGGGTTGTAGATCGCCGGCGGCGGATCCAGGGCAGTCGCGAGGAGTTGCTCTGCGAGTAGTGGGGCGCGCTTGGCTACAGTCCAGGCGTTGCACCCCTCTCGCCAGCGCATGGGGCGCGGCAGGGGCGGCGGCGGAGGCGCCGTCAGGGGGGCCCAGCGCCGGTTCCAAGAAATCCGCGCGGAACGCCGAGAATCGAAGAAAAACACCATAAACATAAACTTTTTGGCGCTCCGCCCGGATTCTTTGGATTCGCGCCTGGCCCCCCTGGCGGCGCCTCTGGCGCCGCCCCTGGCGCGTTCCGCGCGCTAGGGAGGGGGGTCCGGCGCGGACCCAAGTGAACCTCGCGGAGCGCCAAAAAGTTTATGTTCATGGCGTTTTTGCTTCTACTAGAGAATCTATGCTTGTGGGGCGACGAAATCTAGGCAGATCCGCTGCTCCCTGGCCAGACCCATCCTGAGCCCAGCAGCTGTGTTTACGCCACCTTCCTGGCTTGACCAGGAAGGCGCTTGCACAGCTCCTGGGCTCAGGAGGGGCCTGGCCAGGGAGCAGCGGACGTGTGTAGGTTTCGTCGCCCGAGCTCGTGCCGTTCTTTGCTTCTCCAGCCAGTCGCTCTTCCCCTCGCCTGTCCGCGCCTCAGTTTGCGTCGCCGCGTCCCGCCGGTGCCCTGTCGCTGCTCGGATTCCAGTGGCCGCCGGTAGAGGCAATCTCCCGGCCAGACCTCGAGAGTTCGAATAGGGGATCGGCTACACAATCAATTTACCCTAGACCTGATTTTTCCGTCGAGTATGTGAGAACTATATCGGATGCTCGGTAAACCTGCGGTTCATTCGACCGACATTCTTCTCATCCGACAACGTAGTAGATCCTGGTCGACAATTTCGGTAGATATTTCATGCGAATCAACTCTGGGGTAAATAAGTTCCGTAGTATATCAGGAGGGAAAGAAGCACACAGACACAATTAATCGTCGATCCCCCAGAAAATATGGGAAAATATTGGAAGTGTGGGGGGGAAGACGAAAATCCAGAAAATATTAGAAGATATAGGGAATCCTGTTATTTGTGTGCATTTACTTGTGTGTCCCAGGGCCCCTTCGAGCAGGTGGTCCTGAGAATGGTGCGCTCCAGAATCTCCAGAGAGAAAGAGAGAGAGAAGGCTCAGTGCAAAGCACATGGGCACAAAAGCCGTGGCCTCACAGGGCGTCGCGATACCGCTGCACGGCTGCGCGCCAGGCTGTGGCAGAAGTTACGCCATCCTGCCAACGCTGCGGCGGGGCCTCCTCGCCCCCCGCGGCCCGGCCAGCGTGGGCAGAATCTCCAGGGCTTCCAAAATTTCCGGACTTTCCACGGGCTGCAGACACGAGGGTCGCTAGATACCCTGGACATCCTGCAGCGTATCCGGCCCGAGTCAAGCCTGTCGTGGCATCGTTTTCGTCCGACAGGGTCGTCCAGGCATTCCGGCTGCGATCTCCCGAGAGACGTGATCCCCCAGTCCTCCTGATTCGGAGCCCCGCAAGACGCGCAGCCTGCATTTTCCGAGTGGGATTCCTTGCAGAACGCGCGGCAGCTTGAGCCTCAAGGTCACTTGCAAAGCATGTGGTGGTTTCTGCCTCATGATGGCGATCCCCACAAAAGCGTCTAGCTGTCGATCCTTCGAAAGCCACGCGGCAGCGTAAGCCGCCTGAGCACCATGCCATGCCTCCGCAAACGCATGCGGTGCCCTAAGCCCCCAGATGGCGGTTCTTCGAGATCATGCGGCAGTCTGGAGCTCTCGAGGAGGCGGTAAGGAGGAGGAGGAGGAGAATGAGGTGGAGGAGAGGAGAAGGAGGAGGAGGAGGAGGAGGAGAAGGAGGAGGCGGAAGAGAAGGGGGAGGAGGAAGCGGATGAGGAGCAGAAGGAAGAGGAGGAGGAGGCGGAAGAGGATGACTAGGCGGAGGAGGATCACGTGGAGGAGGATGAGGATGAGGATGAGGATGAGGATGAGGAGGAGGAGGAGGAGGAGGAGGAGGTGGAGAAATGCAAGCCGCCATCTCTCTTTCCCTCAACATGGATTCTTCCTCTCTCCTCTCGCCCCACCCCTTCGCCCCCCTACCCGGGGTGCTGGGGGACGTAGCTACCCCGCCCCCAGGGTGGTCCTCTGTCTGGCGTTTTTTTTGTTTGATGTTATGCTTGTTTTTCGTTCTTACCTTGAAACTACTTCGTTTGACTACTCCCCCAGCATCGACCTCTGCGGGGGGGAACGGCTGCGTTTGAATCGAATTCCGAAACCGACAGCGACAGCGACAGAAGGATGAGGACGAGGATATGAAGTAGGGAGCGGAGTGGGATCAGTAATTTGCGACACTCTGTGTTGCGGATGGTTACCCCCGCGCGACCGTGACGACCCCGTGGTGAGAGTCAGTCGAGACAACACGTCTTGGGGGCTGGCCTTTGGGAACGGAGTTCTATGGAGTTCGGGTGGTAGTGGCTCTTTTTGCTCTCATGAGCCTCCCATCTCCCCATCTTCCCCCCCCGCTTCCGTGTTGTCGTCTCGCTGCAGCTCCGTTGGCGGGCCTCTGCTTTGCTGCTCACTGCCCCTCTCTCGCTGTCGCTGCGCTGTCGTGGGTCTCTCTGCTTGCAGTCGGACCGAGGTACAAGGCCGAAATCGGTTCGGGGGGGGTACTCTCATGTTCTTCGTGTTTGTTGGATTTTCTTGAGCATCCTGGGGAGGGTACCTTGGATGTTCTGCTTGTTTTGGCCGACGGCGTGTCTCATGTTCTTGAAGGATGTTCTTCCGGCCTAGGTCCGACTGTAATTCAGGAGAGGGAAAACACACAGACACAATTAATCGTCGATTCCCAGGAAATATCGGAAACTATGGGAAGTGGGGGGAGAGACAAAAACCCAGAAAGCATGGGAACATATGGGGAATATTGTTATTTGTGTGTATTTCTTTGTGTGTCCTGAGGCCCCTTCAGTAGCTATCCTTGTCACGTAGCTTCTTCCTATCGCACACGGCACGGGGCAGCTCCTGGAGCCTTGTCCGTGGGACGAGCATGGAGGGAAGCCTTCCGCCGCCCAGGGGGCCGTGAAGGACACGGAGGTCTTCGCCCGCGAGGTCCAGGCCTTCCCCTCCGTGCTGGGCCCCAGCCGCCGGGGCTCGTCTCGATTTTTCCCGATTCGATTCGACTTCGGTTTCGATGGCCTCCGATTCCGATTCGATTCGGCTTGGGATTCCGATTCGGGCTCCGATGCCTTACTGGAGGCAAACCAGCCTGCCGACCTCCGCCGATCCGCCTTCTCCCGACCTGGCTTCCGATCTCCGCCGAGCCGATTCGTTTCGCTCGCCGATCCGACTCGTGGATTCGCTTCTGGGGCTCGCCTGCCAGCCGCTGGGAGAGGTGGAGGCAGGGGCAGGAGCAGGGGGAGGAGATGCCGGCAGGCAGAACTGCAGATGCGGGCCCCAAGAGTACACACGCCGCCAGCGCGTCGATTCCTCCATCCTCCTCCGCCCTCGTCTTCCTCCCCTCTCCTCCTGGGAGAGGGAGGGGAGTGAGGTTACCAGCCTCGAACGTATCCCTATCCCTAAGATTGACACGCCAAAAGGCGATGACAATCTTAGGGATTCGCCCTCAAAAAATAAGGGCATCCCTAAGATTGGCATCGTGATGAGGAGGTGCCCAGCATAGGGATAGGGATATGTTCCAGGCTGGTAATCAGGGAGGTGGCGGTGGTGGTGTATGCCTTTGGGGCCCCGCAGCAGAGTCCAAGGATCGAGGAAGCGCAAGCACGGGCCCCGTGGCGCGGGCGAGCGACGAGGGTCCCCCCTCTCCTCCCTGCAGAGCCGGCGCGCTCTCGTCGCCCCGGTCGGGCGGCACACGCCCGCCTCGTGCCTGCGGGGAGCGCCCTCCCCGACCCGCGGGTCTGGGCCTCGGAAGAGGCCACCGACTCGATTCGATTCGGTTTCGCTCGATTCCGACGCCGATTCGATTCGACCTCTGGTTCTCAATGGAGGCCTTGGCCTGCCGATTTCCGCCGATTCGATGTCTTTGGATCTTAAACAGACAGCTCTGATTTTGTGGTAGGGGTGGGAGCGCGCATCAAGAGACCATATGCTCTTCGGCAGGGGTGTCCTGGGTTGCTTCGCTTCGGGGGTGGACAGAACCCCCAACAGTGACACGTCGATTAGCGAATTGTCCGTTTTCGGTTCTCGAGAGGGCGCCGCGACCGTTATTTTCTAGGCTTGCGCCCGCCAGGTTTGGGCCTCAGGTCGTTTTCACTAAACCACGTTTTGCTAAAGGGAGGTCTGTCCATCCCCGATCGCTCCTCGCGCTGCGCGGTGGCTTCCCGCAGCCGTTGAAGGAGCTGCTGCGTTCAGGGTGCTCTAGGTTTCCCCTCAGGTGCACCTCGCGCACGGGTTCTCAGGGTTGGGTTTCTTGCGAGGGGTTCTTGCGGCCGCGCCCGCACTGTAGCGAGCACTCATGCCGCATTCGCCTGTCAATGCCCCCCCTCCCGATGATCAGCGTTGGCGGTGGGTGGAACGAGCCGCACTTCGACCGCAGTCTTCCCCCCGCGCGTGCCAACTTGGAGTTTGGGGGAGCGGGGGAGTGTCCACCGATTGTTTCCCTCGGCTCGGCACGACCGAGATGGGCACGGAAAGAATGGGTACAATGCCCAACAGCAGTTTCTGCTCATTTTGAACGGGACTCGCTGTCCACGCCGCCGCGGCCCGTGTCCGCTCGAGACAGAAGGCCGCCTGCCCAGCAGCGGCCGCTGTCGGTTTGGGGCAACGTTTGCTGTTGGGCACAGGACCCATGTCTTCCGCTCCCACTTCGCCAGGAGGAGGAGGAGGGAGGAGGAGGAGCAGGAGGAGGAGGAGGAGGGAGGAGGAGGGAGGAGGAGGAGGAGGAGGAGGAGGAGGAGGAGGAGGAGGAGGAGGAGGAGGAGGAGGAGGGGGAGGGGAGGGGGAAGAGGAGGAGGACGGATCGCCAAAGCCCTTCGGGTCTGGCGCCCACGCGCCAGATCCCCGGATCCGCCACCCGTGGCAGCGCGCGCCCGACGCGACGCGGGGGGGGGGGAGCTCGGGGCGATGGGGACGGAGGCCGCTCCTCCTCGGGCCCGGGTGCTGCCGCGCGGCCGCGGGGGGCTGCCGCCGGCAGCGCCCAGCACAAGCTCATGCGACGCGTGCGTCTGCGCCCCGTGGGCGACGCGCGCGCCGAAGGCAGATGATGATGATGATGATGATGATGATGATGATGATGATGATGATGATGATGATGATGATGATGATGATGATGATGATGATGATGATGATGATGATGATGATGATGATGATGATGATGATGATGATGATGATGATGATGATGATGATGATGATGATGATGATGATGATGATGATGATGATGATGATGTTGATGATGATGATGATGATGTTGTTGATGTTGATGATGATGATGATGATGATGATGATGATGATGATGATGATGATGATGATGATGATGATGATGATGATGATGATGATGATGATGATGATGATGATGATGATGATGATGATGATG